CAATTCACAAAGGAGAGACTTACCGAATAAAAAGAAAGTTTTTCCTCAACGCAACCATCGGATGCGTAAGGAGGGACTTGCGGGAAAAAAAAACCCCGCAAATGTTACATACGGGGGCGGGGAATCGAACCCCGGTCTGCAGCTGAGCGCTGAGGTAGTGTGACGATATTGTCAGGGCCGCTGCTGTCCACCGTGCACCACACCCGAGTTGAACATCCTAAACATGGTCTCCGAAAGTTGTTATAAGGAGGGACTTGCCGAATGAAAAAAGCAACACCTCGCAAACGAACACTCATTCGGGCACAGGGAGTCGACCCCCGGCTTGCAGCTCATATTACTCTTGGAAAATCAAATCACAGGATATATACCATGGTACCACACCCGAGTTGAGCATCCAACCCGTGCTTTCCATAAATCGGCACGTCAATTTATAAAGCAGGGGACTTGCCGAATACAAAAAAGAAACATCGCGACAACCAGCACTCCAGGCACGGGGAGTTGCCCAGTTTGCAGGATATATACATCTAGACACACGGTCCAAGAGATACTGCCGTGCGCCGTGCAGTACACCCGATCCGTAGACTGGATTCAAGGGTCGATTGGGCTTGAATTGTCTCGAAGGTATGGTGAACCGTGGATTCAACTTGTTTCTTCTAATTCTTTGACATTTGAGGCAATGCGATGATGGAGAGATGCATCAACGGATCTAAAAGCTCGTCAGTTTACAAGGAAATTTGACTAAAGAGAGTGCAAAAAAGGAGGTGGCAACCAATCAGTCGGGCACTGGGAGTCGAACCGGTCTGCAGCTTATATATTCCTCCTGGAAGCTCAAAATATTCTGAGGGCCACTGCCGTGCACAACACCCGAGTTCTACGTCTCAAGTGTGCTTTCCATGAATTGGAAAATGAATTTATAAAGCAGAGACTTGCCTAACAAAAAGAAACCACGACGGGATTGCAAATTCATTCGGGCACGGGGAGTCGAACCCTGTCCTGCAGCTGGTGTATTTGAAAACCAAGACAAAGAGCGCTGCCGTGCGCCATGCACCACACCCGAGTTGCATATGCTACATGGACTCTGTATAAGGGCAAATAAAAATTTAAAGAGCGACTTGCCGAATAAAAAGCATGCCGGATATGCCGTTCATTCGGGAGCGGGGAATCGAACCCCAGTCTGCCGCTTATATTCTTCCTGGAGGCCATTTCAAGATCACCGCTATGCACCGTGCACCAAATCCCAGTACCGGGTCTCAAAAAAACGAAGTAAGCACATAAATTTATACGGAGGGAATTGCTGAATAAAAAGAAGTCCAGCATTGTTACATTCGGGTGCGGGGAGTCGAACCCCGATTTGCAGGTTGATGACATATTGGCTTTGTGCAAGAGCCCCGTGCACCACACCCCAGTGCTAAATCTCAAATGTACTTTCTAAGTCGGCAAATGAATTTATACCGAGCGACTTACCAAATAAAAAGACACCACGATTGCTTGTCACATTCGGGCACGTGGAGTTGAACTTCCCGGTCTGCAGCTGATGGAAGGCGAAGATGCTCACCATAGTGAGTGCTGCCGTGCACCGTGCACCACACCCGAGTCGCCTATCCTAGATGGGCTCCGCATAAGTCGGCGCTTAATTTATAAAGGAGTGACTTGCTGAACAAAAAGACTCTATCGAATTGGCACATTCGGGTGCGGGGAGTCGAACCCCCGGTTTGCGGTATATACATACATCTGGAGCGATGCGCGTCAAGAGATACTGCCGTGTGCCGTGCACCACACCCGAGTTGAACATCTCAGATGTGCTTTCCACAAGTTGGTACATAAATTTGTAAGGAGTGAATTACCGAATAAAAAGGATGCCTGCATATGTAAATCACGGACTATTCGGGTGCGGGGAGTCGAACCCCGAGCTGCAGCCGGAATATTTCTTCAAAACGAGAATCGGAAGGAACGCTGCTGTGCACCGTGCACCACACCTGAGTTGCATATCCTAGATGGGCTTTGCATAAGTGAGCCCCTAAATTCATAAGGGAGTGTAGTTGTCGAACAAAAAGAAGATTGTCCCAAATAGCATTCGAGTGCGGGGAGTTGAACCCTCCTACAGTTTATGGATTTCAGATGCTCCCATTCATAAGACGCTGCTGTGCCCTTTACACCACACCCGAGTTGTGGGCTCTAAACGTCAGCCGATAAAGGAGCAAACGTACACAGTCGTCGACCAAAAAAAAAAAAAAAAGAAAACAGAAAAGACAAAGATACATTCGGGTGCGGGGAGTCGAACCCCGTCCTGCAGCTGCCCGATTTCAAAATACCTTCCCAACGAACGCTGCCGTGCACCGTGCACCACACACGAGTCCTATGTCTCACACAAAGCTCTGTATAAGTTGGTGCAGACACTGACCTAATCTCGCGAGGATTCGGGCACGGGGAGTCGAGCCGCGGTTTGCAGCATATACTGTCCAATTTTTTCTTTATAAGGATAGCCGCTGTGCACACCCTATTCCTCGCCTGCAATGCTTTCATCTCGAATTTGGCGCGGCACTAGCTGCGACACTGGAATTATAGGTAAGGGACAGCGTCAACGGAAGGTGGTATAGGTGCCGACTGAAAAGAGTCTCGCTGATGGATTACAGTAAAAGAAGATGATGAAATACTAGATTTTCCTTTACGCTCACAACACGTAGAATGGGGTTTTTCTTCTTTTTCTTTTTCTTTCGTTTCTGGGATTAACTAGCCCTAGAACCGCCGACCGCCAAAAATGCTGTAGCGAATTACTTGGTGGAGCCGAAGGAGGAATTCAGCTCCGAATTCCGAATTCCGGCACGGGACCAGGTTGGCGTGGTCCACGAGCTAAGTACGACCGAGATGGCTTGACTGCGGTGTCAAAGTTCCGAAGGGCGCCGACGTGTTCGTCGCCACGTCGGCGCGCGGGAAAAAGATGGTCGTGGCCGCAGCAAAGGCATCGATCCTTTTTGAGGTTGCTTTGAGGAAGAGAGGAAGGGACGGACAGCCGGATCAACCCCCGAAATTGACAGTCGTAAACAAGTCCGGGGTCGCTGTTGCCGACGAGCACATGTTTTTGCATGCGCTGCTCTGAGCTGCTCTAATCTTTTATCTTTTCTTGTACCATGGACAAACCGACGTGGAACGACACTCTCCGTGCAGCCTTTGGCTCCTGCGTCCCATGTCTCGCTTGTGGCACCTCCTCCGCCGCTGGCCCCAACCCCGACTCGGATGACGAGTACACCTCCAACGACGGAGCCATCCGCGGCATCCGCCGCGCCCGCGCCGACGAGCTCGAAGGCCTGCTGCACGACTCGTCCTCCGGCGACGCCGACGAAGGCTGGCGGGACGACGACGCTGCTGCTGACGCCGACGCCATCTCCCTCCATTCCCATCTCGGCCCTCGCGGTCGCCGCCGCCCGCCGCCGCGCACCCCGCGCCACATCGCCCTCTGGGGCTTCAACCTCTTTGGCACCGGTCGACGCGGCGCGGGCGTGGCGCTCGAGGGCGGCGACGAGGCACTCCACGGTCCAAACTCACACCCGAATACCTCTACTGCGGCAAATGGTACTGCGGATGCATCCACCCCGCGCCGCAGCAAACGCCGCGGTAGCGCCGCAGGCCACTCGAGCACGTCCGACCTCTTCGCGCGCGCGGCGCTCGAGCCCGCTCCGACACAGCTGCAAGACGTCACCGAGGCCGACATCGAGCGCCGCGCGAGACGCAAGGCACGGAAGGAGATGCGCAAGCTCGCGGCCGCCCTCGCTGCCGATGCCGATGCGGAGAATCCTTCTTCCCCTTCTCACCCCGGATTCGAGGGCGCACCTCCGGAATTCCACGGCCACCCGCATCTAAACCTAACCTTCCATCCCGCCCCCGTCCCACACCGCGGGATCCCCTCTCCGTTCTTACCCCACCCACCTCCGCAGGACGCGGCGCAGGACGACGACGAAGCCGACCTCGACGGCATGGCCTACGCGCGCCTCGCCCCGCGGCCCACTAACGGGTCTCAGTCCCAGTCCGCCTCACGTTCGAGCGGGCGCTCGTCCAACTCCGGGGCTAGCGCCTCCGCGTCTCCGTATGGGTACACCGGCGTGGGACAGGCACAGGGCATAGTGTACGTCGGCATGCCTGCCCCTTCGCCCATCACGAAAACGAAGAAAACAAAGTCGAAGTCCTCGGGGCGCTCGGCAAAGTCAAAGTCGAGCGCGACGTCGAGCACGTTGGCGTCTCCGCCTCCCTCTGCTACGTCCTTCTCCGTCCCCGCCCCTCGTGGGGGCGGCAAGGATGAGGATGAGTTCGGGCCCTTCGCAGCCGCTGGCGGTGGCGAGGAGGAATTTGACGGCACGCCCGGAGGATTCTCCGTCCCCCCCACCACCGCGTTCGAGGAAGAGGAAGACTTTGACGGGACCCCCGGCGGTCTTTCCTCTCCCTCCCCCCCTTACTCTCCTTTTGACGCAGACGAAGCACAAACGCAAATTAAGATTCACATGCAGGTCCCGCGCGAGGCGCTCCCCAGCCCGGGGCTTTCCCGGGGCGGTGGGGGTTTCAATTTTAGTGCGGGTGGGGCGCGGGGGATGGGTGGGTTCTAGTCGAGGAGCGGTTCTAGTCTCTAGTCGCGCGTCGAGTATGTGGGGGCGGGGGGCGGGGCGGGGGTGGGGAGGTGGGGAAGACGAGGAGGAGCAAGGGGGTATTTATTCTGTGGATATAGGTGGATGGATGGGACGATTTACGACGGCTCTAGCTACATACAGCATACGACGGGATTGGATTTTCTCACCTTACGATTACGATTTACGACGGCTTCCCGCCACTTTCGACTTTCTACCTCGCCTTTTGTTTCATGCTTGAGCAGCCGGGTCTACTACATTCGAGTCTACTACCTTTACAGTACATTCGAGTTTTACTTACTGTTGTAGATGTACCTGCCATAATTCACCGTACGATTCTCTTACATTCCAAGTAGGGCGACATACATTGTATGTATACCACACAACGGCTCGGTGGTGGACGGTTCCACACCTTCAATCTACATGGGGGTTGTCGGTAATAGAGAATTGTGGAGGGTCCCCCGTTCGACTCGGGGCTGAGCCATGCCCACATCCTAAAGAACTTTTTTTCTTTTTCTTTTTCCTTGTGTAACTTCTGCGCACGTCGCGCTTTTTAAATCCTACTTTAGCGTTTCAGGTACATCCTAAGTTATCATCGCTTCCATTCGAGTCTGACAGGCGATACTATAATAGATCTACTTTCGAGTAAGTACGTACATTTATTTAGAATAAGAGTATGTACAACAAAGCAAGGGACGGCTCAGTGATGAACGGCTTCCACACCTCCGAGGCTGCAACCAATAGCAGTTGGTGGTCTTTGATAGTACGAGGAGGGTCCCCCGTTCGACTCGGGGCAGAGTCATGTATAAGCCCGATAGCGGTTTTTTTTCTTATGTTCTTTCGATGTCGCCCTTTTTAAAATCATACTCTACTCTACTTCGAGTCGTGTTCGAAAGCAGGAGACGGAGCACGGAAGTAAAATGAGGAAAGAAATTACAGTAAAAAGACTGTCGTGGTGCTCAGTACCCGGGGCTTTCGGGACTTCATGGAACAACTCGGGGCTAAATGAACCCGACGCGCACCGTGCGCTTCCCTGCCTTTTTCTTTGTGCTCCGGAACTGGGAAAGGTGTGCCCAAATTGGTTATATATATCAGCAGAAGAAACAGAAAGACTTCTAATGGAGCGTTGGGCATGTTCGTTCTTTTCTTATCTATTTTCTTACATTCTTCTGCATCGCGCTTTTTTCACTCTATTTCGAGAGTGCTCGAACAGAGGAGGACAAGTAAAGAAACTTGGAAAATGAAGAACTTGAAGGAAAAAGATATGGGCTGCAGTCATCCTCCATGGCAGGACCCCGAGTCGAACGGGGGACTTCGGGACTTCATTAAGGTGAAGCCACGACCAATTGAACCCGACGCGCACAGTGCGCTTGCCTGCCTTTTTTTTGTGTGCTTCGAAAGTGAAATAGGTGTCCAACAAAAAAAGAATAATTGTGTATAATTTGAAGTTCATATCAGGGGAAAGAAACTTGTGGTTGAAAAAACTCAAACTACCCTGCCAAGGGTTATTTTTCTGCTGGGAAATTATAACCCGCAAGTCCTGGAATGCGGAGTAACAAAAAACGATAAAAAAGGATGATTCCAACAAGCCACAACTATGGCAGGCCCCTGAGTCGAACGGGGGATTTCAGGCTTCAATGATGAAAAAACGAAAAAAAGGATAGTTTCACTGCCCCATGGCAGGACCCCGAGTCGAACGGGAGGGACTTCATGAATCATTGACAATAGAGCTTAAATGAACCCTACCCGCACCGTGCGCTTCCCTGCCTTTTTTCGTGTGCTTCGAAGGTGGGATAGGTCAGGTGGTGTATAAAGTTTGACACTATCGGTAGAAGAACCAGAAGGAACGTATTGTAATTGAGTGAAGTTGAGCTCGGCTGAGCCATGCACGGCCCCATAGGGATTCCACCCCCTTGCGTACTCCAGACTCTGCGTCGGGCTTTTTCCTAGTAACTCTGCCCTACTTTGAGATTCAGCGTCATGTCCAGAAACAGGAGAAAGAGGACTTCTGACAAGGGAGAGGGAAAAAATACCATGGAACCGATCGGAATCCTTATAGCGTGACCCCGAGTCGAACACCGGGGGGGAGGGGGGGCGGGGATTTCTTTAAACGTCATCACGTCGGAGTCAAATGAACCGAATACGCACCATGCACTTCCCTGCCATTTTTGTGGGCTTCGAAAGTGGGATAGGTTAGGTGTTGGCGAAGTTTGTAAATACTGTATCAGCAGAAGATTAGAACCAGAAAGAACTTATTGTAATTGAGCGAAGTTGAACTTGGAGCTGAGCCATTCCCACGCCCAAATAGTTTTTTCTCCCCCTTGCGTTCTTCTGCGTCGCGCTTTTTCTTGCACCACTCTACTTTGAGATTCAGCGTAGTGTTCAAACAGGATTAATACAGAAACCTGGAAAGTGAAGAACTTAAAAGGGAAAAGACATGGCCTGCAGCTCTCACGCCGTAGATAGCAGAAAGAAATTAAATCAGTAGCCAAATACAAAATTGTAGAAAATTGGTCATTCCGTTGGATACAAAACTGTCACGCGAGGACTTAAATGAACCCAATGCGCACCATGCGCTTTCCTGCTTTTTTCGTGTTCTTTGAAGTTGATATAGGTGAACAAAAATAATTGCGTATAATTTGAAGTTCGTATCAGGAAAGAAACTCATACATATTACATTCCTAAAGAAGGCAGAAAGTAGAACGGCTCGGTCGTGGACGGATCCACACCTCCAACCTTTGCTCCGTAGTCGTTGTCATCATTGAGAAGGGTACCCCGTTCGACTCGGGGCTGAGCCATGGCCTTCTTCTGTGTCGTACGTTTTGTCTTTCTTCCGAGTGCGTCGGGCTTTTTCCCTACTCTACTTCGAGTCGTATTTACTATTCGAAAACTGGAGAAGGAGGAGGAAGGAAAAGGAAAAGAAGGAAAACGTTGAGGTGGCATGAAGAATGGCAGGACCTCGAGTCGAATGGGAGATTTCGGGACTTCAATCACGCATACAGGATGGCATGAGTTGAACCCGACGCACACCGTGTGCTTCTCTGCCTTTTTTGGGTGCTTCGAAAGTGGCGTGCACAAATTGCCAGTAGTTGTATAAAGGTAAAAGAAATTTGCCCAACGTTTACAGTAGTTGGGTTGAAAATATTGAAACCTACCCAAGTTGAGGTACCTTCTGCTGGAGTGCTGCAGTATTGTGTTCTTGGACTGGAACAACCATCCCTACGCCCGAAACGCAGAGTAGTATGCAATAAAAACAAGAGAAAAAGAACTATCAGCGCTTTGCAAAGGATGGATGGCAGAGCCCCGAGTCGAACGGGGGCTTTCCGAACTCGACTCGCCAGGAAGTGATTAATTAAACCCGACGCGCACCGTGCGCCTCCCTGCCATTCTTATTTGGAATAGCTGTGGTCGAATTTTGGTATGATCATGACCAGTTGAAGAGAGTTGAACATTGAAAAACTTAAACCTATCGAACTCACGTTACAGCTAATCCGGAAACGATAGACACCCTTGGATTTCCAGCAAAAGTCGGCTAAGTTCGGCTAAGCTTGGATCATATTAGTACTTGCGGAGCACGTCCTCAGCGTATATGAGTGTCCTCTCTACACTCCCTGCGCAATGGTAATCTGTTCTCGTCTACCACCATATCAGGCAATCCAAGTTACATACCGCCCGACCAAAGGCGCCTCGTCGTCATAATGCCGTATGTTAATGGTATGAAAGGGCCGCAAATTGCCAAGTAAAGCAACAGGAATCCATATCCGCGCCCGTAGTGTATGTATCGAGGCCTTTGTTTTTGGGGATGTTATTGTGCGCCATGTTCAAGTTAGGTTGTTTTGTTTTACTTTTTTTCTGGATGTTCTTCTGCGTCGCACTTTTTTCCCGATCGTTTCAACGTTGTGCTCGAAGAAAAAAGTAGGATCACCAGGGCAGAAAGGGAGAAGGTGGACGGCAATAATGGAGAAAAAAAGAAGGAAACATATAGCATAAAAACTGATGATGGCTGATGTTTCCAGTTGGTGGAGAATATATATGAGCCCGAGGCGCACCGTGCGCCGCCCCGCCACTTTCGCTTCTTTACAAAATTGGATCAGTGTGCGAAGAAATGTTTTCGTTGAAGGTTGTATCAACTAAGAGGAATTGTGGATGAAATTCTCAACTTGACCCCCAAGCCAAATTACTCCCTCATACTGTCAGAAGGGAATTTCCCGTGCCACAACGATTAAGCCCCGAAACGCACCGTGGACCTCCCTACCTTTTTTGTGTCCATTGAAGCTGAGATAGGATTTTAATGTGTATAATTTGAAGTTTGTATCTATGACGTTCCGTTTGATGCATAAATCAAATCCAGAAAAAACTCTTTTTCGACCCAGTGTCAGAGATTTCTTCAACGGGTGCCCCTTGTCGTGATATGATCGGGTGTTTCACAATTCGTTTTCCAGACCTGGGGTCCGTAGATGGTCCTAGGCATTCATCCTTTGACACGACAAGATGCTTTCACCTTGCGACTGCAGATTTCGACCGTTTTTCCCAGCTCGAAATCAAATCGAGGCTTGCCTAGAGCTAGGTAATCTTTAAAGCCAAAGAAAGTATAAATGATCCGTGGTACTCGTCTCTAAAAGCTGTGCGGTGTCGAAGAAAGGCTTGGTCCAGGTGTAGACCGAAGGGTGTCCAGGTCGTGCCAGTAAAGTCGCCGAGTCGTGCAGGGAAATGATGATATTGGATGAATGAGAATGGATCTAGCTGTTGAATAATCAGTAAGATGGATATAAGGGAGAACTTAGCTCAAGTGTCTTTGTAGGGAACGTGGATTCGCGTGCAGATGCTCAGAAATGTGGTGTATAGTGGTGGTGGTACGAGACAAAGAGAGAAGGTTCCGTAAAGAGGACCGATCCTAACATATGAAAACAACGTGTATGTAAAATAGCCCGTGGGGGAAAACCTCAGCTAAAGTCAAACCTCTGTCCAACAAACAGTCCGGGAGCTACGCAAAGACGTAATAGGGAGAGCACGCCCCCCTCAGACGTTGACGAGCAGGTGCCCAAGCTGCCGTCGGCTCGATCCCCGGCGTAGTCCGAGAAAGCCGTGAACTCGGGTTGAACTCTTCGCGTTGGCGGTACGTAGTGCAAGAGAAATAATGTCTGCGTGACAGATGAGGGAAATGAGTATGAGAATGTGAGTACAGGTAAAATAAGGGATGAGGAACAAGTGGAAAGGGAAACAAAATCCGGGTGCATCGTGGTGAAATATTTAGTCTGAATCTCCAACTGGCTCGGGAATCGGAGTCGACGAGCGAGGCGAGTCGTACTTCCACAGCGGCGGTCCCGATTCACACGGAAAGCTGATGTCGTCCACCATGCCAGTACACCAGTTAGGCGTCTCCGACGTTCTCATCCTTGCGGCAAGTTTGTGGCTTGTGACCAAAATTGTCCGCCGCATCGCAAATCGGAACAGTACGCAGGGAACAAGGCTCAATGGCCCGCC